TTGAAACTAACAGCAATCGAATATGAAACATATTCCAAATTTATGTGTCGCACAGAAATTGTACAAGTCTTATATGAGCGGGGGGGGGGGGGCTCCCCAACATTTTTCGGGGGAGTTTGATGTATGTCTTTTTGATGCCTAGCTAAGATTCACAAGTCGGACTATTCTCCGACTATATAAATACTACCTTTCTGAAGATTAAAACGGAAGTGTCTGGATGGCCTGAGTGGTTATACGAATAACGAAGACATGTGCAACTATATCGACAACTTCTTTGAACACAGTGGGATCCGACGACTTGAATCCAAGAACATTGAGCACAATTACTGGCATTATTTTGACACCATTGTGACAAAAATACACACATTATATTACCGTATATTTGTTCTAATAAATGTGTACTTGCACGTACAGACTATATATAGCTGATTTTGAGATCGAGCGACTACTAATCGACTATAATTAGTGGACATATAATGTATTGAAAGGTTATGGGACTTTTAACCGTTTTTCTTAACTGTCCTTTCATACAATGAACGTTTACGGGAATTTTAATTTATTTTTTTGAACTATCAACCACATTGGTCTAATTCCAAAGCAACTCTACCAACTTTGCAATCTCTGTTACACACTTACTATTAATTTGCACTATACAACTACTGTGTTTATTTCTGAAACATAAAATGACCGATCTCTCACAAATTGCAATCGCTACATCAGAAGACATTTTATAGAATATGGCTGCCTAATTTGCCCAATACATGTGAATACAATACAGCAAGCAATGGAATTGTGTTTATTTTCTGCGTACGTGTTTGTTTCAAGGCTCGAATAAATTATCCGTATAATCAATTAATCGAACAACTAGTAATTTGCCCGCCCACTTGGTTCGGATAAACGAGGTTTCATTGTAACCATTTGTCACCGAGTCAATTTTATTCAAACTTGGTTATGATTACAATACATATTGGGTTGCAGATGTAGGTTATTTGTTTTTTGTGTATGTCCTTATTAATTATATGACTTATTGGAGGCCATTTTGTTTTATTGACTATCAAGAAAATGGTTTCCTAGCATGCAATGATCACAGATGCATTATGAAAATACACACTGACAACTTGGTTTGTGATCTGATCGACTACTGTTTTCATGCATACCTATAACTGTTAATTCTGATGAAAACAAAAATACATGGGATGGGAGACTTTAACCCTGTCTGTGTGTATGTATGTTTCTCAAAAACCTCTTGTTAGAATTCAATGAAACTTGGTACAAGGATGCATTGGGACAAAGCACAAGCCTAACAAGTTTTGGGTCGAAATCCAGCTTTTTCATAGATCCCTCAACATATTTAAAAGAAACCTAATGCATAGTGTATACCAATTACCTAATTGATCAATTTATATATCTCAGTACCATTATATTTTAAATAAAACTTGGTAGATAGGTGCTCTTGAAAAATCAACATACCTGGTTACGTAAGAGTTTAAATACTTGCATATTAATTACACAATTTGCATAAATTGAGTGCTATGATGAAAACATTGGAGAGTTGTGGCTAACATGTGACCTCATTATTATGCATAACTCTAATACCTTAAGCCTAGTTGGAGAAAGGGAGATACAACCAGTGCTATGATGAAAGCATTGGAGAGTTATGGCTAACATGTGACCTCATTATTATGCATAACTCTAATACC